GTATTGTGGAGATCATCTTTTTGGCCATAATTAGTTTGCTTCAACATCTCTACATAGATAGTAATGTATACCTTCCTAATTAAGTCAAGATCGAGCTCAGTCTCTTGAAGCAGCATATCAGCACTAGGATTGCGGTAAAACATGAATTCACGCTCCCCATCCTTTCTTAGGGTTACAAATGCCAAAGCAGTTCGAGCACCAGGATCAAAGCGCATCCCTTCATTATTGACATTGTTCTCCTTCAAAATATCAGCAAGCATGTATCCAAATTCATCTTCCCCAACCTGTGGATGGGCCATTAAAACATTGACCAGAAAAACAGAATTTTTCATGAGAACATGTAAATTTTTTGGAAGCTTCCTTCAATAAGTCAGTAGTAACATTATAAGTTCATAATTTTGAAGGTATATGATAATCAACAACGGCTAACAGAGTACAGAGGTGTCACACCTTCCCAATGAAAGCTGATGAACCACCAAGGCGAGCAATGCCAACAGCAACATTAGCGGGTGCACCACCAGGAGCCTTTTTGAATGCAGGTGCTTCAGCTAATGAGAGACCACTTGCAGTCGGGACAAAATCAATTAACAATTCCCCAAAGCAAACCACAAGGGACGACTCATCCTTTTCGGGTGCCCCATTATCAATTGGCAATGCTTTACCTAATGGAGTTGCAACTTAGGGGATTCAAAAAATAAGAACTACTAATTCTATATTCAATAGCATTAACCAAAGTTAGTTAAAAATAACTACTCAATCCACGAAGGGCATTCGAACGGTTGATCTGATTAATTAAAAGACTAGATGATTCTAGTTCCTAGTAAATGACTATATATTGTCCCAATTAGTTTAAAAATTGGACATTGTAAAGGCAATGAGAAGAGGTTTAATCGTCACACAACTTGTTTCTACTACCAACCTAAACCACCGGCTAAATGCTGAAGCCAAGTTATCAACAGCTACGTAAGGTATTATTATTGATTAATCAATCTCTCCCTATTTAATCAGGTGTAGCAGCATGCAGGGCACCACACTAGAACTGCGATTCACATAATTCATGTGACTTTTTCTTAGTTTTTGCCCTATTGATTGCTTTCCATAACGATAGTATCAAAGCACAAGTCTAGTGAAGGTGTTCTGCGAAATATGGAGAGCAAAATCGAGGTGGAAAAAAAGCACTTAATTGAGTTGATCCTGCATAGCAAATTAAGTAATCGATTCCAGTGGGGAAAACAAAGCAATACCTTGAAGCTTAAATCGCGGAAGGGCAACCGGTGATGGTGAAGAAAAACCTGAAGCCTTAACAGTAAAGGGGCGGAAAAATGAGGGAGCAGAGAGCTGCCGAAAGGCCCCAGAAGTTTGAGGATTGCAAGAAATGTTGTTGAAGCATAAAGCAGCAGAATGAAGAGCCATATATTCAAATAACGGAGAAAAGAAAAGAGGGCGCAAGGCAAAATTTTGAGTTGATCTCAAGAACTTGAGCTGAGCTGCAACAAATTAAATTACTGTAAGCGTTAAAATTGATGGCCCCTGAGGGAATATGGTGGTTTAGGCTTTGGATTAATCGATGTGAAATTGTTGTAAATTAAATACTAGCTAATAGGATAATTGTTTTGAATGTTGGAGCTGCCGGATTGAGTAGGTGCAATTTGGAGCTAAGCTTGGGATATGTTTTCTGAACATAAGAAGAGTGACAGAGGAGTGAATAATGAGGGAGGGAAGATCGGAGAAAGCGAAGATCGCTTAGGAGTTAGCAGTTAGTACCAATACTTTTTTTTCTTTTTTTCGAAACGATAAGTTGGAAGGAGTTAGGACTAATACGACGGTCTACTAGCTGTTATTCAATTTAACCGTTAACATAGAAAGTGGCAACAGGTTTTGGTTGTCTGTCCGATTGCCAAGTGGCTGCTATGGTGGGGCCTTTTCCAATGGACAACCAATCACCTCTAAGTCCTTCTGCGCCCTGTGCTGTGCAATGCCTCCGTCTATCCACCGCAATGAATCTTCTGTCTCACAGTGTCAGACTCTGTTCTATTTTTTATTATATTAATATTTCTTCTTCATAAATATCATATTTTAGTTCTTTTTTATTTCCTTAAGATCCAATAACTATTAATTAAGTAAAAATTAAAATTTAACAAATTCAAAAAATCAAAATGCATAAAAAAATGAGATTTTTTATGAATTTTTTGCTATATTTTTAAATTTTCTATTATATATTGCTTTTTTGAAGCTGCTGTATTTATTTTTTACTCAATTAATAGTTATTGGATCTTAAGGAAACAAAAAAGAACTAAAACATGATATTTATGTAGGAGAAATAGCGATATAATAAAAAATAGGACAGAAAGTGGTACAAGGTGTGGGACAGAAAATCCGTTGCGCCATCTGCCCGGCAGTCCCCACCACCCATCCCCTCCTCGTCCTCCCTCGGGCCCAATAACCAACGTAAGACAATGAACTATATAGGTTAAAATAAAATTAGGAATAGGAGCCAAAGCGGGTGTAGACGGTGATAATAGATAAAAAAAAAAAAAATTGTATAAAGTCAAATACGTCAAAGGCAAACTTAATGTACTCTAAACCGTAGGTCGTGTGAAGCATGAAACATTTTTTTTAAACAAACTATTTCTTTATTTGAAAGTCATTATTTTGGGTTTTATGTCTAAAATTTAGATTTTTTTAGTAGTAAAAAATTGTTATAATGTCTAAAACTACCGTAAAGTAACTTTAGCTGGTCACCCTACTCTAATAGCTTCTTATAAGCCTTTTTTACAAAATCTACAGAAAATGAGAATAAGCTGACAATAGCAAATTGTTTCTTTTGTTAATATAAAAAAGTTTATGGTGTCGTTAAAATTTGATTAATAGCTAAAATATCACATATTTTCAAATTATAACATGATGTTGTCCCTATATCCAATTTAATTAATTACAACGCGAGATTCCTATTTAAGCCCTCACCCCTATTTCAGACCAAATTAGCTTGATATGTAACCAGCATCCAAGGACAATTAATGTTGAGAAAACTTCCCTGTAAGGGTTCGACTCAATTCAAGCAGAATTGTATCCTTAAAAAAAAAAAAAAGGGTAAAAAATAAAAAGCCTCCTGTGGTAAACCTAATACACAGAAAAGTTCCCCATGATTTCAAAATATACAACACGACCCCTCATGCTTTGAACTAAATTGTAAAGGTGACGGAATCCGTTAAACTTAACGGAAATGGACAAAATGACCAAAATGCCCTGATATAATTAAGCAAAAGACAGTTCAAAAAAATCATTTGTTTCATTCTTTAAATAGAGAGAATTGAGGGTTAAGGGGTAGAATAGGTATATTTGATAAAAATTAGGTATACAATTTTTTTTAGGTTCCAATAAGTCATTTCCGTTAAATTTAACGGATTCCGTCACCTTTATAATTTAGTTCAAAGCATGAGGTGTATATTTTGAAACCATAGGGGGCTTTTCTGTGTATTAGGCTTACCAAAAGGGGGTTTTTTCGTTTTTTACCCAAAAAAAAAAAACAACCATCACCGACATTTCTTCTAGCGGGTCACACTGAAAGCAGGATCCCAGATTGAGATCTTTACAAAGGAGACTTAGAGTTAGCCCAAGTCCAATTCTTCAGGATTGGTCTACCATTGGTGATAGCCCGAAGCCTGAAAGTCACCACACCTCTTTACTGTCTATATTATCACGCCTGTAATACAAGCTTGGTTCTAAACTTCTGATAAGCCCAACTTCCAGCTCCCGTTTCTTCTCCTGTTCCGGTCATCTTCCAATCCTCGTCCCGCAAGTCCATAGCGTGGAACCAATCTTCTCCAGCTCCTTCACAAATAACCAAAGCAGTTGGATATTTAATATATATTTATATATATACAAGCTAAGGCACTTTAAAAAAAAAGAATAGAAAAAATTGGCCTCAAGATTATGTTGATCGATTTATCCTGTCAAAGGTAACAATATGAAGATTGCTACGTTGCGGGGTAATACTGGTGGATTTCTCACTGGGCTTTCTACCGCTCCAGAATTCCTAAATTCCTAGCACTGACGATGTGAGTTTGAACTTTTTTTCTACTTCTTGTTTGACGAATTACTACCTCTTTATTTTCATTGAAAGTTAGAGATTTTCTTGTTAAATGCTTTGGAATTTAATGGGTTTCAAAAGGCTTTGGAATTTAATGGGTTTCAAAAGGAAACAATACAACTGATAAAGCCTGCAAAGGGAACTACCACTCTGGCTTTCATGTTAAGGTGCTAGGATGGGTAGATATCTGTCTATGTATGCTTGTACTAGTATTTCCATGCTGAGTTATGATCGTAATTATGATTGATTTGTGCACATTACATGTTACCTTTTCAAATATTAGAGAAAGGTTTATGTTTTTTTCTCTGTTCCGTTATGTCTGTATTGTATGAATGGGAAGCAATTGTTGAATAATGCTTCCAAATAGCCACGCACCAGTCTTTTTTTTTTTTTTTGGGGCAATGATAACAGTTATAATTGTATAACCCATTTTATACTAATCTACAGAGGAGGAGGAGCTCAAGGAGGCTTGTGTGTTAGGGACTAGTAGATATGCAGATTTGATTAGATCAAGAGGACGTTATAGCATCACTCTTGAATTTTTTTTACTGCAGGTAGAATTTGAACCGCCACCCACGTTCCAAGAAGGGACTTGAGTCCCTCCCTAATGGCCATTGAACCAAGCCAGTAGTTGCCACGCACCAGTCATTGATCATTTTTTTTCCCTTTTTTTTTTCTAATTTCCCCCCCCCCCCCGGGGTTGGTCGGGGGGGGTTGGCCAGGGGCATCAATGCAGATGTAGTAAATGAATTTGTTGCGTTGAATTAACGTTACAAGTTATTGATTAGTCTATCTGATGCCAATGTGCAACTGTACGTCTTCAATGCAGATGCGACTTAATATTGCTACTTGTTTGAGATGACATCCAGTTGATTTTTGTTTTAAAACCAGAATTTTGTGAACTTTCATACGTTAGTAGTCTTGAGTTTGATTCTAAAATGCTTGCTGTGTTTCTCCATGTAGTATCTCGGCTGACCCAATGTTTGTAGTAGTTACTTATAGAATTACCTCATACCCTTAGTGTTCTGTAAACATTCAATGTTCTAGAAATTTTGCTCCTTCGGCTGTTGTTCGCGGCTTAACTAAAGGAAAAAGAGATCCCACCCCAGAAACGGTTGGGGATGGGGTGCGAAGAAACGGGGGAATATGAAGTATGTATGTTTTGGGGCCAAACTTGTGTCCTGAGACCATATTAGCATGGTTATAAACTCCAACTTGAAGGTCTCTTATCATCCGGCCGTCACATGCATGTTTACCATATATCTATTTGAAGTAGCTGTTGCCGTCAATTTCTGCCTAACGTGACTCGTGCTGTTTCTGCAAATTGGCATATCCACTTGCCTATACCACAAAAGAGAGGCTGAGATAAGAATCAGATTACTTTACCGAAATCAAAGACGTTCGATGACATGATTCTTAATGTTGTATTGTAATTATCCTGTCTCTTATGGTTACTGAATCACGAAATACATCTCAGTGACATACTGGTTTAGACCATCACAATCTGTCGGGAAAATCATTGAAATCAATCCATACATGGTTGACACTATGGCTGGAGGTGATGCTGACTGCCAGTTCTGGCACAGGAACCTGGGAATTAAGGTGCTCCCCGGTTTGTACTAGTTTGACTTTCGTTCTTGTATTGTCATGGACAATCTAGCCGTTGGAAGATCATTGACTAGACTTGCAAATTTCAGTGCCTGTCTGCATGAGCCTGCAAATAGGAGAACGATATCTGTCGCCGGGGCATTGAAGTTGCTAGTCAGTTGTATTCCTGCCATGGCAAGGGATCGTCTGTTGGAACAATGATCGCTGGACGGGGACACAAAGGCACTGTCATAAGGACTCTTTGCATAGTTTTATCCTGAATTCTACGTCTTATTGTAAGTAATTGGTTGTTCCTTGCAAGGTCCAGGCCTATACTATGCGGACAGTGAATGCGGATGGCTAACAGGAACTGTAGTTTCAGTTGGATCGGGATCACCATGTGCTTACGGTGTTTTGGATGGTGGGTCTGTTCTGCTCCAATCATCCTAATTCCTCTAGCATTGTTGGATTAGCTGACCATTCATTAGTGATTGCAATGTGAAAAGAGCAGGACTGTCTTATTGTGTTTTGTTCCAAGGAATTTTGTGCCTGTTTGGATGAATGCTTCAATCTCTGCTGTTTGTTGTACCCTCTTTGCATTCTCATGCATGCTTCTCTGTGATCACATTTCAGGTACCGGTTTGATATATGTCTCTTGAAGCAGCAGCTGGGCTGGCCAGACCCGCCGTTTACCATGCCACATTCAGAGATGGCGCCGGTGGTGATGGTGTCGGTGGTATGTTTGTATCTTCGCTCCATTTTTCTGCTTGTTAGTTGGTCTGGTTTGAGAACAGGGTTTCTGCTCTCGTTGGTTTATCGCGTGGGACCTAACGAATGGAAGAAGCTTTCTGGCGAGGCGATGATGTTGGAGAACTTCACCGCACATATTATCCTGTCGAGCAAACGTTAGTGGAGCGGGAAATGGATGAGGATTTAACGTCTTCAGATATTGAAACGGGAAGAAGATTTACGCATGTAATTTGATTATTCACAAGACGGTCGAAAGAACAGCCAAAGTCGCCACTACATTCTTCCTCGCGAATTGACTTGGGTTACAGGAGTGGTTCCCGCTGTAGTGACCGCATCATTATTCTCTTGAAATGCCCTTCTTTTTGGCAAATCGACAAATAAGTTAAAAAAGAGTATCAGTCTTGCCAAACGACAGAAAAGATAGAGTAGGTGTCTCGCGGAAGCCTAAATCCGAGTCAAGGAAGAATCGGGTCACCTTCAAATTCAGACAGTGGTTATCACCGCTTTTAGGTTTCGGGTTATGAGTTTTAGATTGATAAAGGTAACTTATAAAATACTGTGGATCTAAATCAGGTTTAATTCAAATTTATTTATTATTTCTTAATTTCTTTAATATAATTACTATGACTACTAAGTTCTAAAGCTAATTTAGAACCAGTAACTTTACGTAAGTTAAGAATTTTTTAATAATGATATATCCAATTAGTTGAAAGCATATGAAAAATAGTAATCAAAAAACACGATCAACAACAGTTGATACATCTTCTTCAAATATCCTCAATTTGCTCATAGTAAGATTTGTCCTTTTAAATCTTTTGACATAATTTTTTTATATTTAATATTTCTCATATATATTAATATATTTTGATACATAACTCATAAGTATAAAGTATTAGTATTATATATTTAGATATATAATCATATATTTAAATATATAATCATATATTTAGATCCAAAAATATTGTAGTTGGCACGTAATCGAAGCTATTGATCATTGAATTTAAAATAATTAATGAAATATGATCATGAAACAATGAAGATCCAAACAGGAATTAAATATTCTCGAACCTTTCTGTCTGTATCTGGCAAATGAAACTGGTCATCATGCGAAGCTGTGGGAGGAGTATGTCCTCTAGCTAATTAAATGCTAATGGTAATAATTTGCATCCACGTGAAGTTCATTCTGCAAGAAGGCGTGTTCCTGACTCGCTTATATTTCTTTTATATATGCTGCTTTCTAACGCCCAAAGGTCATTAACCGTATTCACGCCACGACAGGTATCAATCGCAATCATCAACGGCCACAATGTCACCGCCTTTCCGCCTTGCTTCCACCTCTGCCCCTTTTAAGAACTCCGTGATTTACTTCCACGTTTCCTTTCTTCATTTGTTTTTCCTATAGTAAAGGTTGAATAAACAACCAGCGTGACTGTAAATGTAAGAATATAACAAATGTAATTGTGTGAAGATGTTAAAGTTAATATAAATTAAAAAAAGAAACAACCATATTAACTTAATTTAGTTTTTGAACTAATTGAATCAAGCTCGCAACTTTCTTACCTTTTTTTGTCATTACTACGGCTTTGTGCCAAAAATTAAAGGGAAAACTTTCTTAAATTTCTTATGAAGTTATGTTTGAAATTGCAAAAATATTGGGGATAGAAATCAAATCATGCAGGAGAGCCTTAAAAAAAATGTCTACAGGAGCTCAGTTTCATATAATAATTAAGCCAATCTTTGAGCACATATACTTACTTAGCATGTTAATTTCTTCCATAATCAAAGGAACTTGTTGCTTCTATATATTTTTGAACTTATTGCGTTACTATTTTTTTTTTCTTTTAGCTTAAGTGGAAAATGTTAAATTCAGAACATCTTATTTATCTTTTCTGACTCCCGTACCATTCAATCCATTTCTCCCCCCCATTGCATTACGAGTTACTAATTTACTGCCCTTTTGATCAACGCAACTTGGTGGAGAAAATAAAGGTTTGTTTGGATTGTGTTTTACTTCCCCAATTTTATCTGCTTACATCATCATTACAATTTTCAATACACCTTTTTATCTTCTCAATTATCTTTTTATCTCACACACATCACATCACAAAAAGTGCTACAGTAAAAATATTCCAAATAAAACACAATCCAAACAAACTAGGGTTTTTAGAAAACCACAAAATCGAAGCCCCAAAACATTGTGGGCATCAATTAAAAATAGGCAGGACAAAGTTTTCCTTTTCCTTCGAAATATCTTCCTAAACTAGTAAATTTACGTATTTTTGCTGGTTGATTTGTCAATAAAAAATTTATTTCTGCTCGAAAATTAGAATTCTATTTTCATCTTAAGAGACAGCGGCAAAGGTAAGTCGTACGACGGGCAACCACAACAAAAGGCGCAGCGCAGCTAATCACGCGTCTTGGTCCTTTTAGCGCGTTAACCCCATTTCCCTCCCTATAAATGCTCCCCGGGGAACCTGTTCCTGGGAGGGAAGAAGTGTCGGCTTACTTGTTTCTACTGCTACTACTACTGCTGCTTTTATTTGCGCTTTATAGCTGCTACTGCTGTTTTATTTGAGAGAGAAGAAGTCGTTAATGGCGGAACCGGAAAAGTTGAGCGGTTCCACCAAGGAAAACAAAAAAAGCATGGGGAGAGAACAGGTGAACGAAGTTAAGGAGATGTTCAACAAGTTCGACACTAATGGCGATGGCAAAATCTCGTCGTCCGATTTAGGCAACATTTTGAACATGCTAGGTTCGAAAACGTCGCCTGACGAAGTTAAACGAATAATGGAGGAGATCGATACCGACGGCGACGGTTTCATCGACTTGAAGGAGTTCGAGGTGTACTTCGCTGGCGTGAACCAGACCGCTAACAACAAGGAACTTCGCGACGCCTTCGACTTGTACGATAAGGACAAGAACGGGAAGATCTCGGCGAACGAGTTGCATTCGGTCCTCAAAAGTCTCGGTGAGAAGTGCTCGCTCAGTGATTGCCGTAAGATGATCAGATCCGTTGATGTGGACGGCGACGGCTGCGTTAACTTTGACGAGTTTAAGAAGATGATGGGAGGGAGTACTTGATTAACTAATACTAGCATCTTCATGATTAACTGCAGATTTAGGATCTTAAATCACTTCGCCCTAATCATTTTTATCCTTTGATCTTCTCTCCCGTAGATTCTCCTTTTAATATTGCTTTCGTTTTCGTTTTTTTTTTTTTTCTTTTTTGTTGTTATTTTGGGAGGGAAAATTGAGAAATCCAGTGCTGTTGATTGCTGTTTAACCACTGAAGCAATATAGAGTAATGGTTTTTAGTTAGTATTTGAACGTGGAAGCAGCAATAATGGCGGTGGAATTATTATCATCTTTGACAATTACTGCAAATATTTGGTTGGCTTGCGATAAGTTGTGCTGTTGTTGATTTAATTATTGTCGAGTGGTGTGGACTGTGGAGGCCAAAAGTGTAGGGCACAAGAAAGTGCAATCGATCTTCTGTTTTACACTCGGTAGCATTTTCTGTCATATTTTTTATTATATTATTATTTTTTTTACATAAATATTATATTTTAATTCTTTTTTATTTTCTTAAAATCTAATAATTATTAATTCAATGAAAAATAAATACAACAGTTTCAAAAAATTAATATATAATAAAAAATTAAAAAGTATAGCAAAAAATTCATAAAAATTTTATTTTTTATGTATTTTGATTTTTTGAGTTTGTTAAATTTTATGTATTATTTAATTAATAGTTATTAAATTTTAAGAAAATAAAAAAGAGTTAAAACATGATATTTATATAAAAAAAATAATAATATAATAAAAAATGAGATAGAATGTGATACAGAGTGCGAGACAGATCAATTGCGACAAGAAAACTATGTGTGTGGTTCACTTCACGAAGACTTCATGTAGAGCAGTACCAATCGATGCCATGCTCCACACGGAGGAGGAGGAGGAGGAGGTTGTGCTGTGTGCGAGTGTATTAATCCATACACGCGTTTTTCTTCCTTTTCACTTGCAGCTTTCAACTTCAACATCGATAAATCTTCAACTTGTGATTTGAAAAACATTTGTTATAGGATAGAAAAATATTTTAAAATTGAAAATTCAACTTGTGAACTACTCCAATGCTTGTTTTGGATTTCAAGCTACGTGTACTCGTTGCTCTCGCATAAAACAAATCCTGCCTGCAGTAATAATAGTATAATTTTGTTCAGCTGCTAATTGTGCTTCGTTTATGATCTTAATTGATTTTTAGTTGCATTTAGAATTATTCAAGAGATCAATCCTTATAATTCAAGCTCGCCTGTATTTAGATTTTTTCACTTGCGGAAGGAGGATCAAAGTCCTTCGACATTTCGTTACTCAGCCTACAAAGTCCTCATGATTGCAATCCAGTGAACTGATTCATATCTGCCCTTTGCAACCAGAATAGAAATGCATGTTGTGCTATTTGCAACTAAGGAGTGAGTGCTGCATCAATTGAAAAGTTTTCTGGGCATTCATCTTCCCATGTTGCCTTTTTTAAGTTGATCACGCTTGAACCTGATAGTGCGTTGCGTGGTGAGGAATGCTCTTAGCTGGCCTTCCTTTATGCTTGATGAGAATCCGCATGTTGATCTTCTTTTTTTTCTTTTCCGGGTTTATCTTTGCGTGTGTGGGTCTATAAATCCCGATGCCAGATGTGTTTATGTTGCGTGAGAATTGGATATTGACTAATATGCTCCTGGTGGGAAAACAAGAGGGTGATGTATATCGCATGTGGTACTAAGGCTTCGTTTGGATTGCATTTTACTGTAACGATTTAATGTATGTGAGGGAAAAAGGTAATCGAAAAATGTGATCACGGAAAACGACGTAATTTTTCGATGGAAAATGACAATCCAAACAAGGCATAAATTTCTCCTACCAGTAAAACAAAAAAGTGTCTAACATTTTTGTCTTTCAAATATTACTTTTTAATCGCAAACGCAATTTTTCGATCACAGTTTTTTTGTCTTTCTAACCATCTTTTTTTACCAAGAATTATTTCAAATGATATTATATGCTCTATCTATATCATATAATTGTGCCCAAGATTATCATGTCAGCGTTGAGCATGATAACTATGGTAACATACAATCAAATTTACCAATGCTCTTTTTTTTTTTTTTGGAAAATGAGTCTGACAATGCTCTTAAATTCAAGTACATGCCAATCATTTCTGTTTTGGTGGTTTTGAGATATTGATAAAATAAAGATTAATTTCCCCATCACGAATTTTCAAACTTGAACGATGACAACAGAGGAAGACTGAAAGATCCCAAGTTCCAACAGCGTGACCAAATAACTCCCGAGACAGCCTTCCACTTCTTGCGGTAGTATGCTGAGATTAGCCTTCAAGAAATCTGAATGGTAATCCTGCCATTTCTCGATCTTGGAATTGGATTTTTGCGAGCCTGTGGCTGCTGTCATCCTTCAGGAGGGCGGAGTCCTAGTCTTCTAGAAGAACAATAGACCCACGAGAGGCAGTAAAGAAAAGAAAGCATGCCCTGCCGGAAACGCTACTCAATGCGCATCCAAGTTCAAAGAGA